TCGTGAATTTCTCGTAGTCGGATGTCTGCTGCAGACATGTGACATACTCTGACACAAACCTAACTTCGTTGAATTAAACATCAGGTATTGGATTCTTTTTTTAAGTTCCTCTGGCAACCTTCAGAAGATAAGAACATCGTCCGCAAACCGCATATGTATGCAAAGACGTGTTCTATTAGAAGACGATTCTGTTAGCCACAAAAACGTACTTACATAAAATTATATTTAATGACTAGAAACATTATCAATTAGCTGAAATGAATGTCGAGACAAATATACATAATTATTCAGATTATTTTATAATTTAAAAAGTTTAATACTCTTGTACCTATCGTTAAATTTCGGTCAGTGAACAGTCACACTTTAGGTCTTGTATAATCTATGCGCAATAAAATGACAATTACCCAAAATCGAAGTAATTTACTGACGATACCATAAATCTTTTTGACAGTGGTGCGGATGATTGGTGCCATGGGACAGACGTTGCTATACCAATTTGGAATGAGACTTTCGCGAATAAAGTTTAAAAACGAACAAAAATTTCAGCATCTCAAATTTGAATGCGTTAATTTCAGGTCGTAGACGAAGAGGACGGTTTGTCATAACGTGGTTTGGTCCTACAAATTCGTCTCTTCTGTACATTTAGTCTAGATGATTCTCGTTTAATTAAAAATTAAATGATATTAATCACCCAAAAACACACGATTGATAATTTAAATAACAATAGCAGTCAAAGGCAAGGAAGCTGTTGTCCCCGGCAACCAAAAAAAAGCTGATTATGCCAATGTATAACTGAGTCAAGCAAGAGCTAAGGGCTGAGCAGAGACGCCACTGTAAGAAATAAAAAACCACATAAATGACATTAGCCGCTGACTCACAATTGACCCCATTCTAACGGGAACGGACTGGTTTTCTGATTGTTCGACAATTTTAGAAGCGATCGCTCGCAGCAAGTCAATGATTGGCAAAACGAATCGAAAAGTCAGAAGCAAGAGCATAAAAGTGGCAGTGACGAATCGTACATCAAGGACGCATTGGCGATATTCGGGACTAACGGTTTATGAAGTGCATGTGTTGCGCTTTGGATGCGCCGTCGTAACCTGGGAGGAATGGCGTGTTTGACGCTTTGGCTCCCTCACCGGGAATCCAACCCGCATCTCGGCTACCGAAACCGCAGAGTATTCATCTGTGGATGGGCGCAGGCGGTGTTGGGCGCCGCGGCGTTGGCGAACGCATTTGCCGCTGCGGTCACTCAAGCCGTGAAGCCGAATCATGTGACTGAACACCTGAATATCCACTGGATGACCAGCGTCTACCTGCTGACCGCCTGCTTAACCGTAATGGCTGAAAGCTTCCAGCACAACGCGTTACTAGCATCGCTGAACTGGTGTGCAAATATAACGGCGCTGATTATCGCGACCGGCAAACTCTTAACCGACTGTGTGGACATTGACGTCGTAGTGACCACCAATTGGTCTTCGCTGTTAAGCAGTTGGAAATTACTGATCAGTTTCACCTCCGTAGATATGGTCATTGCCGTTGGTATCATCGTCGTCAGCCTCACGATCCTTCGAGAAACGTACATCACGCCCAATGACAAAGGTAACCTTGCGGTCATTCAGTCCCAAAGTCGGCGTTGTCGAATATTTGGTGCCATCGCAGCTATCACAGCCGCAATCACCGCTGGACTTAGGATAGCGCTGTGGGGAAGAGAGTATAAATGGGTGAGGAACGTCATCCCTGCGGCCAGACACCTGTTCTTGAACTCTGTGGCAGACGAGCCAGTGTGGGGCTTGCTGTGTTTGATGGCAGCGACACTAAACCTCTTCGCCAGCCTCGGCAATAGCAGGCTCCTAAGCAGACGAAGCTTTGCCTTGACCGCAATCACTCTACATCCAGTCATTGAGTACCTGTCGATCGATTATCGATGGCTATTGCTGACCACGCGACTAGCCGACCCGGATCCTTCAGACTTCTGCAAAACAACGACCCTGCTCGCCTACAGCGTCATCGCCGAAGCCTTGCAACTCGCTGCTGCAACCACAACACTTTCGACATGGATAAAACGCTTTTCCGACGGAGATGGCAACAAATGGGTTCGACAGAGTGATGTCGCCAGTAAAGAACTGAAAATCGGCATATTCATGCTAGGAGGCGGTCTCCTAATCACTGGTCTGGCTCTACTGGCGGTCGACCTCCGCGGCCCACGCCAACGAATCTTCTTACACCGCTTTCTACCTATTACCGTAGGCCATCTACAACTGCCATTGTCACTCACCGTAACCGGCATCACAGTTAGCACCGCCTTCAGTGGTAGATTGTCGATGCATGCCTGCTACAGCATACCGACAGCCTTGGCGTTTACTGTACGTTGTCTTCATTCAGCGTTATACGAAGTTGTAGCCTATATGTGTAACGCCTTTGGTAATCAGTCAAGTTCCAGGCATCTTTGTCAGCTACTCATTGCCAACAACCTCAAGAAAACCGCTTGCATACAGGAGGCTGCCGACGACACTGAATATAAGATTCGTTTTGCGGAAGTACTTTTAGCATCGTTCTCACTTCTACTATCCTGCTGCAGTACGTTCGCTTTGAGCCGGATGGTCTGTCTGTTTCGTCCTCGACCAGAAGTGGACAGTTGTGATGATGCCAGCAATGAAAAGGACGTGACGAAAAGAAAAACCACCTGTAGTTACTTACTGAAAGTCGTTTGTTATTGCCAGGTAGCAGTCGCAGTTTGTGGGCACACAATCTGCTTGCTGACCGAACAGAAAGGCGCAACGCTTCAGCCTCTTTCGTCAGGGCTACAAACGACACCAGACCTCATCGCCAGCAGTATCTCTTCCCTAGTACCATCACTGGTTCAGCTGGCGCTGACACACGACCTTGATGAACGCCCAGTGAAACAGCTGGCCGTCATCGCCATTGCCGTCGAACATGTGACGTGCATAACTGCGAACCTTGGCCTAAGGGACCGAAGATACGTAGCATCCACTCGGATTGTGGTGACTACAGTTCAGCTGACGGCCCTTCTTCTACAGTTCTCAACCATATGCATCTCAGCAGCATATTCTGACTTCAAATGGACCGGTTCTTCTACCTTAAACATAAACAGTTTCGAATATGTCAAACTTAAGGAATGCGCTACGGACAAGACGCCAAAGGCAGAATTATGACGTCATTTATGGCGCTGCTTCATTAACTTTGACCAAAATATACAGTAAGGCCCGCTATGCAAAACATTACTTTTATGCGACAGTTACTACCGTGGCGTTTTTCAAACAGTAATCAAACAAATTATTCTGAGAAACTGTTAAACTTTAAATGAGGTAAGTGTTAGCACTCAGAATGGCAGCACCTCTTTAAGAGACAAACTTCTGTTTTGCATAATGCCTATCGATCTTGATCCAGCGAACTTCTTCAGCTGATGCTGCCATCGATTTAGAGGTCTTCATACGAGCCGTTTGGTTTCCTTCAGAATACAGTCTAATGTTCTCTGAACCAGCGATGGTCGATTTTTATTACAACGTGTCTTGTCCATTGACACTTTATCTTCTTTTTCAGTGAGAGAAATCGAAGATCCTTGTTTGTGCACCAATTCACTCACTCCACTGCATCTTTTCTTGCTATTCCCAACATACACTAACCCATACTGCTTAGCGTCGTATGCAGTTTATAAATAACTTTCAGGTCTAAGGCTGACGTTTCGCACCCACAGCTGAGCACTGGGAGCATACACTAATCGAAATCTTTCCCTTGCAAGCACAAAGGAAGTTTACTAAAAAGGAACTTTTTCGGTGTTTTCATGCTTTTGTTCATTTTAGTTTTCGGTTGCAAATGGCAACCCTCATAGAGAGGCCTAGTTTCGCAAGTCGTTAATCCTAAGACCAACGATTTAAAGGTGTCATGGGAAAATGTATTTGTTAAACATGTCTTAAGGCAGCTTCCTCCCAAGCTTTGCTTTGACACTAGCGTTCTTCAGCTTTTGCATTTTTCTTTCGAGTTCTCCTGATGACCTTAAGAGGATCAGAATATCGTCAGCAAACTGCAGGTTGCTTAAATACTGTCCATTTATCTTCAGCCGCTTATTTTAGCAATGATGTGCTTTGAAAACTTCCTACGTGGCTACTGCAAATAACTTCACTATGTCGAACGCAGTTTCGATTTTGAACTTCTTGCAAATGCTTTCTTGAATCTTCACACTAGGGGTAACGTTCATAAATTAATTAACGCTAATAATAAACTTATGTAGATGAATATGTAAACATTTATATATACCTGTGCCACATACATATAACTTTAAATTACGCAGTTTGCGATGCTGTGGTACTGCGACATATTGACGATCATGCCGACTTGAACATAGGCAAGAAGAGCTGCTACAAGAAGCCCTTTTGGGATTCTCGATGGCCACTGACTGTCGTTGTTCGACATTTTGTTTACTTACCGCTACCATGCTGACTAACAGAAACCGCCATGACTGGCCAATATGCCGAGGATTACAGTCCCAACAGTTTATTTAAACAATATTTCTTTGCATAGCAGAGTGCAGACTTATTATTCTTCACCACTGTGATGCACTAGACAAACTGAAAAACAATTTCGAAGCGTGAAGAGCCTGATAGTAATTAAGCTGAGGCAGTTATGGTCGCTGAACTTAAAGGAACAAACCTGAGAATAGACGACGTGTCCAGAAGGCACCCAAACAACTGAAATAACATTCGACCGTTCACAACTACCGGTGATCTGAGTGATTAAATCACAGTGAAGTCCATCGTGGCGTATTGGAACAGTTGTCTAAGAGGTCTGCTTCGAAATCCGGAGGTATCAGGTCCGATTCCACTAATGGACAATTTTTGTCTTATTCACGAACTCCGTGAGCAAGAAGTTTCACAGCGTCAGGGGTTGCTCAGTCGGCAGGGCTTCGAACATAGAACTGACAGGTCCTGAGTTCAAGCCAAGATTAGGGTCACTTGCCCTTCTACCTTTCGACGTTGATAAATGAGTACCACTCTGTGGGAAGGAAGTAAGAGACTACATGCCACGCTTGCCACACAGCTGTAGACTCTGCCTTTAAAAAAATAAGGCACCCATGGCAGATGGCACCGCACCATCAACTTCATGAAAAAAGGGCGCCTAAATGGCCCAATCATGAAAGTGAAGATTGACATTCGAAGGGTCACTTAGGTTTCCCTTAGCTTCCAAAAATGCCATCCACGGATGGTCTTCAACTGAGTTTGTCAGTAATACTGCATATCTTAATCAAGAGAAGAGACTGCAATTATACATCTGCCAAGGAACTGGTCACCAAAAATACAAGCGTGTCAAAAATGAGACACTACAGGCACGATTGAATGAACTTAATATGGATGGAAAACATGCTTCAAAGGATTAGGAATAGGAATCACGTACAAAAAGTCATGAGTCGTTAAGTTTCCGAAGATTCAGTATTTTAAATAATACTTCAGGTGTTTGATTCTGGACCAACAGTTATATAGATAGGTGTCTGAACGATTCATT